GAACAGTAGAACATGTATCTTATGTACATGTACACTCAAAGTCATCGCCGGATGCAGACAGCGTGAGAACCCTCATCGTATCACCCAGGGAACGAACCAGCAACCAGTGAGATTTTTTGGACCCCTCCACATCCGAATTTTCTCCACCTGTATAGAAACAGGAAAGGGGTTTGTTCCCCACACTGGAGCTCCCAATTTCCGCCGACTTGACAGTTGACACTTGACTGACTGGCGATTTATAGAAACAATAAAAGTAAAAATATCATGCAAAAGTGCCACGTCCAAGTCAGGAATGCCTCAAAAGCTTTTAAACTCCTTTTAAGAATAATGTTGTCCCACTTTCAGTCGCGGTGATAACTCTCCAGTCGGTGCGGCGGGCAACGCCATGGTGTGACAGAATGCCACTTCGGTAAACGCCCATGGGAATTCCCAACGGACGCCTCTTATACTAAGTCAGTGCGATAGTTACACCGCGCACAATGTCTATCTACATGTAAGTCAACCTTCACGTTGTAAGCGTTGCCCTGTCGTCACCTCCATCTTTAATCGGTGGTCTTAATTTCGCTGTACATGTACAAGCAACCTTTATGATTGTGTTCATGTGATTTGCCGCTGAGCTTGGAAGGTCGGTTCACCGCTTCTCTTGGGCCTGGCGAGACCTGTAAAGTGCAATGCCACCTCTTTTGGTCACTGCTCCCCTTCGCATGTACATGTACGGAGGCAGTGCATTGTCATGTGGGGCTTGGCCCAGGCTTCCGCGTTGCGCCTGTCATTTCCCAAGTGTGAAGCCGACAGCCCGTCATCGTCACCCAACCCTGCATGCCTGTCCACAACGGGGAGGTTAGGACACGACGGGGAGGTTAGGACACGACGGGGAGGTTAGGACACGACGGGTTGTTGGTTATACCCAGTTCACGCCCGACATACTTGTAGGACTTCTGCTGTTCGCCATGAACTACTTTGTATTCCTGTCATAAGGCATTGTTGGGGGAAGAACAACAGAGGTGCACGCGAGGTCGGCCCGCGTATTTCTATCCTCTTGCTGTTGTTATCTCTTCGGCTTCTTCTTCTTTAATTAAAAGCTGTTGACGGACACTCCCTTGCTAAATTAGGGCCTATGGAGAATACATATAAAAAGAATAGAATGGGATGCGGAGCTTGGGTTGGCTGTGACTCAGAGTTTCACGCCTGTGGCGATCATCAGACAGCAATGATTACAAAAACTCAATGAATGTTCTTGATATAGTGTGGTAAGATGCTAGTGGAATCGGAGAATTTAAGCGCAAATAAGGTCAAGCGGTGATTCTATGCATGTACTTGCAAGATCAGCGCCAGACATCAGGTGTAATCCTGGTTTTAAGTAACTGGAGGTGTGAAGTTAGATAGGTAGAATTTGTTCTCATGTCTGCACTTGGCCACTAGCTCCGATCGCTTGTTGATGTTCACCCTTCTGTCAGCATGCAGACAGAGAGGGCAGCGCTTGGTGGCATTGAAGTATGCTGGTGTTTGGACGACAACTGACCAACTGATGCTGTACCCGGCATTCTTGCGCTTCATGTCCCAGATGAGCTTCGACAACTCAGTACTCTTCTTCATTCTCTCATGCCTCATTGACGTCATGTGTCCGTCGTATCGCTTCGAGAAAGTCATTTCCATTAGGCCGAGGTACTCATTTCGTTCGTCTTTTCCGGTTTCTGTCACGCTGGCCTTGTATACAATTGACTGGATCTGTCAGTTTCCATGCATGGGGCAGTTAACTTTATCCCTGCAGTTGCATCTTTTCTCTGTTCTCTGTTGATCATCTTTCTGCTTCTTCCGCAAGACCGAATTGTTGTGCGCCTTTAGTACACCAGACATGTTCTGCATGCAGCTGTAACTTACTTTTACTGTGTTACTGTTGAATATTTTGTTTAGGCGTGAGCGAGGTGGGAAATGCTTCTCGACGAGGTGCAAGAATCTTTGCGCGACATTCGTGGCTACTGTTTTGCTGAACGGAGGATTGTACCAGATGATCTTTCGTCTGCGGCTTTTCTTCTTTTTCTCTCTCCTCCATGTACACGATCTGCTCGGCGTAACCGCAGGCCTTGAGCGCACTGTTGTACAGAGGTGCCGCCTCCTGGAAGATGTCTCTGTTGGACGAAATATCTGTCAATCGTCTGCTGATAGACTTGGGTATTTGTTGGATGATGGTTGGCGGGTGGTTGGATAGTGTGTGGACGTACATCGGCGTGTCATTTGGTTTTCGATAGGGGCGGTAAGTCTCGTCGGCTAGATTAAGTGTTACGTCGAGGTAGTTTACGACCTTCATGCCGGCATCCTTTTTTGTAATCATTGCTGTCTGATGATCGCCACAGGCGTGAAACTCTGAGTCACAGCCAACCCAAGCCCCGTATCCCATTCTATTCTTTTTGTATGAAGCTCTGCACCCCGGTGCATTGAGCACTCTTTCGAGGACCACACCCAACTTTCCGTGTGAGAATACATTATACGTACAGAGAACAAATACGTCACGTTGTTGCCTGTCCCCAAGATCGGGTGGAATGAGTACTGGCCGTCGTCTTGGATGTCCGAAGCAGCCTATCTGACTGCCAGAAGCTCTAGATATCCATCTGTCCGCGGAAAATGTCCCTGCGGTTGACGACGCTGTTCAAAATTGTTGGCAAAACAATTGCTAGGCGAAGACATTGTCATAGATTCCGCCCTCTCCTGGTCTCACCATGCTGATCATGTGTCGTCCAAAGTATGCCGATCTGTCGGCATAATGTCAAGTCACTTATCCCATTTGCCCAAAAATTGCCGGATTAATTTTTATAAATCATACATTCTTCCCCTCTTCACGTACGGCTTCCCTGCCTGGTCCACCATTAACAAAACGCACATAGGTAAATTAGAAGTTCTCCATCGCCGTATACTGCGCATCATATTTCGTACTGATCGTTATATCTCAAATCTAGACTTGTATGCTGCTGCATCCACTACCACTCTGCAACACTACCTTGATGCTTCCAAGTGCACCCTGGCACATTCAATTTTCCTTGACCAGCACCCTGCTCATTTACAGTCCCTTAATTGGTTCAATTCAGGTGGCACCACCCGAAACTGCGTTCGTCTCCCCCTAGCTAGGTCTACCCTATTCGTAAATTCCCCTTCCTTTTCCTCCTACTCCACGTGGCTCCAACTGCCTCCCGGTGTTAGACAAGCTCCAGATATGCCCAAATTCTGTACCCTCGTCAGACAGCACTTCAGTATCTCCCAGTAAACAAAGTCACAGTCACCACTTCCGCTGCATAGCTCGCTGAGCATCCCATTGCTTTGTAAGTTGCTAATCCCTTCCCACTTTGTGTACGTGCTCTTCATTTTCTTTTTTCTCTTCTTCCGTGGTTGGTCTCACCCTCTCTTCAATTCAATTGGCTGTCTTGACATGCCACGAGGTGCAGAAATAAATAAATAAATAAATAAATAAAGACGTATTTCAACTTCACCTCCAACGCTGACTAGTCTGAATGACGATGTCAACAGCAGTTCTTGCTATTCTGGTGATTAGTCTTTCTATCTGCCTGTCTCTCTCTCTTTCTCTCTCTCTTTCTCTCTCTCGCTCTTTCTCTCTCTCTTTCTCTCTCCTTCTCTCTCTCTCTCTCTCTCTCTCTCTCTCTCTCTCTCTCTCTCTCTCTCTCTCTCTCTCTCTCTCTCTCTCTCTCTCTCTCTTTCTGCGTCAGACAGTGAGTGCGAAATATAGACGACTGGATTTCGTTTGTGAAATATTGAGTGTTTTCTACAATTTCTGATCAAATTAGTATGCTGTCAGCTGTACCAGCCCACATCCCATCGTACTAAGCGAGCAGGCAAATCCTGATACTTGCCTTGGGATTTCATTATGTGTGATGAGAAGAGAACTCGATTCACTTCTGAGAAATTCAATTTGAAATGTGTACTAGGCTCGCCACCTTGGTGTATTCAGCACTCTCACGAGCCACCACAACTCCCTCCGAGTTTGCCTGGCTGCGCCGCTCTCCACCCTGGGTCGAGCTCTCTTTGTGTGCTGCCCGTATTCGAGAATGGATCGACCGAAGCCGTTTCACATTGACTATTCGATGAAGAACATCCCGCTGCCAAGCGACAGAAATTATCAGCCCGGATCATCCATTTCGCGCTATGATCCAAGCTTGCAGCGGCTGAGCCTATATCAATCTTATCTTCTGAAAATGGTAGTCAAGTTGCTGTCTGATGATCGGTTAAAACCGTGAAACTCAGAGTTACGGCAGAAACGCTTTTGATTCCTCTCAACGACTCAAGTGTGTGTACTACTACCTGACTACTAGTACTAGGCTCTGCACCTTCCTTGGTGTATTGAGCACTCTCACGAGCAACCACAACTCCCTCCGAGTTTATCATTGTACATGTATGTGCAGAGTGGTGTACAGAAAACAGTAAGCCATGACTCGGCATGAGTAAGGTAACGATGTTACGTCGTTACTGGTTACGATGTTACTGGGTACGGCGTTATTACTGGTTACGACGTTACTGGTTACGACGTTACTGGTTACGACGTTACTGTTTACGACGTTAATGGTTACGACGTTAGACTGTGGCCGAGTGTAGGCTGTCTTGTTATATCAGGCAGCATGTTGATCAACACGCCTGTAACTAATAATTATTACTTACTACTATACTACTGTAGTGTAAGGCTGTGGATCTACACTGAGACTAGTAGTAGTAGTACTAGTAGATCTACTAGTACTAGTAGTAGTACTAGTAGTACTAGTAGTACATGTACATGGAGTAGTAGATCTACGGGGGAAGCATAGTGCTACGTCACTGCTAGTGGTAACAATACATGTAGACTGCAGATCCGATGAACCGGTAACCAGGGGGAGGACGTATCGTACCGGCACGGAAATGCGACGACAAAACGAAGCACTCAGTGACTCTATTCTAACGATTAGAGGTGCTGGTGACTTCGTGTCACTGTCAAGCTCTCGACTTTGCTGTCCGCGTGCCGGTGATGTGCTTGGCTGGTAGCTTCTAGTAGCATCCGTAGCTAGTGACAGCTCAGCAGCTCTGACTGATGTCCTTCGCGGCTTCGGCGAGGATTCCGGCTGCTGTCCACATGATCAAGACGTACTGCGAGTTTGAATGGAAAAAATAGAACTCGACGCCTTCATTCTGATCGAGTTGCACCACTGCTTTCCTGGTTTGAGACTGACGATGCACAGGAACCCGCCATCATGTGCTCGACCTAGGCTATGGGGAACAGCTTGGGAGGGATGGAAGAACCGACCTGCCGGTGTGGTTACCACCAAGTAGACCAGTCAGCGACAGAACCGAGCTATCGGTTTAGTCTTGCCGCTTTCCCACAAGAACATTACTCATTAGCTCCGCCACTAGATATCGCTTGGACTTTCCTTGCAACAACTCCGGAGCTGATTCAACCGACAACGAGGACTCCCCAACGCCGATCGAAGCATATGCGCGCTGTGGAAACTGGTCTCGTAAAAAATGTTCGCACGGCACAAGGAGTGGAACTGAGCAATCGGCGTGTTACAACACCACGAAGTCGGCAAAACCGTGCCCTGGTCGATCTATCGTGACCATGCGACCACTGAGTCTAAATTTCGAGGGGCTGGCGTTGACGTTGGTGTTCAGTGTGGCCTTGTGTGGAACCTTACCGAGGGTTTCATCGGAAGGTGAGTTCACCCCTGACCGACTATGGCGAACTGCATGCAGCCATTCTTCAGTTGAGATCTCAGTACATGTACTCGTGTGAGCTGTGCAAAACTACTGCGGAGTAGCTGTGCAAAGCTGCTCTGGATAGCTGTACCAAGGTCCGTATCTATCATGGATAGCACCCGCACCAAGGTGTTTACCTATGGATAGCTGTGCCAATCTACTGATCCTATTAAGGAGGATTAGCAAGACGAAATTCGCGTTCGCGTTCGCACTCCAAGAAAAGTCAAACTCAGTAACGGAATTCACGTTATGAGAAGGATTAGCAAACAGAATTCGCACCTGCATGACGTTGACACGACGTACATTGTGTACATTGTGTACAGCGTGGTAAATTTATGACTGCCCTGACACGAATCCACGATTCGTGTTCCGACTACTTTTCCGAACGAATAATGCGAAAGTTCGCAATCCAGTTCGCGAACTGAAAAATGTTTGCGAACACGAACGCGAATTTCGTCTTGCTAATCCTCCGTAGTAATTATTATGACTGTGGGGAGCTCTCAGCTCTAGCTAGCCTATGGAACACTGACGGAGTAAAGCAGTATGCCGACCCCCGAAGCCTTCTTGATGATACCTGTGCCGCAGCTGCGTGGCAGGTCACAGCTCTGTGCGGACTGTAGGTAGTTCAAACATGGCTGTCTGATTTAGCATCCTATTGCCAGCATTGGCCAGCACTGTAAAAGTTTAGTACTGTATCAGATTCTAGGACCCATGGCTATGTGTATTCATGTAGATACCATGCATTAGATATCAGACATCAGTTGACAAACTTTGTATGGAGAAGGCAACTTGAGAATGCCAAGATGCTTCACAGCGATGGCACTTGTACTGGTGTTACACTCATCACTTAGGCCTGTGGGACTGCCCTTTCAAAATTTAATAATAATAATAATCACTTCGCCCCGTAAGCAAATCCGCAGACTGGCGATATATGCATCGTGCCCAAAAGTGAATCTGCTGACTCACCACCATGACATTACCCGTACTACAGTCTATACTCATTCAGTTCACTTGCGTCGTTTAGCAGCGTATAGCTGGCACCACACCCTGTATGGTACTCGGTTACTCAGCCAGTATCTACAGTGTACTGTAAATATACAAATTTTCGGCAGCTATTTAATTTCGGCTATATTCGGCACCGACCCAAAACGCCTAAATTAAAACGCCGATGAAAATTTTCACAGCATCTGTCGCACTATCATGCCCTCTACCCCACGCCGAAAATAAATCGCCGCCGAAATGTCAACAATCGTGAAGTGCCGAAATTTTGCAGCGCCGAAATTTTGTATATTTACAGTATTCAATCATGTGTATGTGTGTGTGTAAGAGGCAATCTGTGGGTGTACATCCAGTGCATTTGCAGCTTTGTGCACTTATCTTACTAAGGGTGTACATCGTGCATTGTACATGGTATACAATGTGCATGCATGATTGTGTGTGTTTTGTTTGTACAGGTGTCGACGAGGTTTGCGCTCACCCCCAGGCTCTGCTAGTCAGCGATGCAGTGTCCGCACACGCACACCTTACGTCGCTCTCGCATTCCAGAATCCGCCGCGTCGGCTCACGGGAAGCCGTGGCGTACACGGCGCGTCACGCACTGTTTAACTACACAGGAGTGCCGCCGGATGCGTGGGTTGCATCTTGTTTACAATACAAGGCACGGCCGCAGTTTCTTCAGATTACACTGCCACAGCCGCGCGTGATCGTGGCCATCGGCACGCGTGGCTGCGAGTCCCTGAAGTGTTGGGTGACATCTTACAAAATGTCTTTTGTACCGACCCAGACTAAAGTTGACTTGGCTTCTAAACTGTCCATGAGGAAAACCAGTGCCTTCACAGCACTGTTGTCGGCTAATGGCAGTACTGCATTCGCGGGCAACCTGGACAGCAGCACTCTCGCAGTGCGCAGGTTTCAGCGTGGCGTGTTTGCTAAGATTCTGCGTATCTACCCGAAGACCGTCAGCAGCAAGCTGATCTGCTTGCGCTTGGAGCTGTACGGGTGCGTGCCGGATCCAGGTGACTCACCAGGGCCCTCTGCCTCTATGGCAAGACCACAGAGTGCTAGCCGCAGAGTACAACCCGTAAGCATGCGTCACCCAGACACCACAGCTACAGGGGTCCAGTCCGAGAGAACTCAAACAATCCCCAGCATTACAGTCGATATTCCTCTGTACATAAGTGTGCCTACTGCCGTAGAGCCAATTACTACCGCTGCAGAGCTCCCCTTCGTCAAGACTGGTGCATCACTCGCTGACCCTGACGGTATGCTGTTTTTTTGTCTGTGTAACTCTCTTACTTTAGATATACCGAGCAGCAGGCGAGGAGTAGGAAAGGGTGTAGGCTGGTAGTGCATGGGATGTGGTAGTGCATGGGATGTTAATCTGCCCTGGCCAACACCAATGCCTTCAAATCGTTCTATAGTTTGGGGAATGCATATTATGCAACTCTGGCATTTCAAAAAACAAAAGAATTTGGCAGGTACTGGATTGCAGTTTGCCAAGCGCATTGCCACATTTCTAAAATCTACACAGGAAGCTGTGTCGCTCCGGGTCTTCAAAAAGACCAACACATTGGCAATCAAGCTTCTTTAAAATTGACTACTGTAGTCTTTCTTCTCTCTCCATCTCCCCCCCCCCCCCCTCCATGATAAAAATGACTCGTGTAACTTGTTTACCTACCTGTAAGGAAGATAGCGGTGGAGCTGACTTGCGTAGGCTTTCCCAGCAGCACGTTATCCGTGAAGCGTGGTGCAGGTCTCTGGGCACAAGTAAAAGTATGTGTTTGCAAACAGGTAGCAGAAAAGTTGAATAATGTCTATCCATGGTGTGTTAGTGCGCATGCTTGATTTTGAATTTGTATTTTATTATTTTTCTTGGGCATTCCCCACAGACCCTAAGCCAAGGTCTTCTTACAGGGTGCCCAAGATGAGTAAAGGCTGATGATGTTGTTGTCCTTGCAGGTGTGGAACAAGCGGACGCTCAATCTAAGGAAGTGCCTTACATGATGATTGCGGCGTTCAGCAGCTGCGCAGCATTCGTCCTTTGTGCAGTGATGGTGACGCTGTTGGTGCAAGTACGCAGTATGGTGCAACTTGGCTCTTGCATGTCTTCATCACAGGCATCTGGCAGCCCCCTGCAAAGTGATCGCGCTGCTTCAGGGTAAGCCAACTGTCGCAACATAAGATGTCAGTTACAATCCAGGCACGGTCATTCACCGTTGGCCACTGCTCGTGGCCTCTATTGCAGATGGATACCCAGCCTAGCTTCATTTCATTGCTTTTCTATGGTCTTGATCAACATAAAGGGTGATGGCATTCCTACAGATGTGGATAAGTCTGTCTGACTGACTCACTCAAACTGCAATTATTTGTAAATGATTTATGGCCAATGCAATCTATGCCGGATGGCAGGTATGTTTGATGTTTGGAGGTCGAAGCATGGGTACTATGCTTGGGTAATGAATGATTTCCCATGCAATTTTTGAGTTAAAGATGATTGTCGTCTAGTCATGCAGGTAATTCATAAAATAGTGAACCGCTGCCACCCCTGAACTTGGCCAGTTTGTCCTTTACCGCTCTAAAAGATGTCGAGTCTAAATGGTAGGTCATTCCAAGATTTGGGCATCATTGCCTATTTGGTCTGCGATACAAAATAAAATCTCAAAAACAACAACAACAACAACAACAACAACAACAACAACAACAACTTCTCTTTCTCTTATTGGCCACTGGCTATCGTGAGAATAAAGATTTCAAACAACAACAGCAACAACAACAACAACAACAACAACAACAACAACAACAACAACAACAACAACAACAACAACAACAACAACAACAACAACAACAACAACAACAACAGCAGCAGCAGCAACAGCACAACAATTGAGCATTACATTACCCTGTAAGTTGAGCAAGGCCATTGCTAAAGCAGTATCTTCAGGTTATAGTGGCACGTGCTTGTTGGGTAAAGAGCAGCATGATTGGGATCCAAATTTCCACTGCATCCACACCAGGTTCGAATTTTGAAGTGCGCAACCTATGTTGTGGAGTTTGGGGCCATGACTACTTATACACACACAACAGAGGCGAAAGGCTGTGTTAGCTGTAACTTAAAGTTTCACACATCGAGCGATCATCAGACAGCAGCATTCACCTCTGATGATCGCTCGATGCGTGAAACTTTAAGTTACAGCTAACACAGCCTTTCGCCTCTGTTGTGTGTGTATACTGCTCTGTACATTCGTACATTGAGCATTCTACCTCGAGCTTCCAGGACCGGCCTTGTTTGTGACTACTTATATGTACATACTGTTTACTACATCTGGTGAACGTCCAGTTACCAGGGGTACAGAACCCTCCCCCCCCCCCCCCCCCATATGTTGGGCACCCTGTAAGAAGACCTTAGGGTCTGTTGGGAATGCCCAAGTAAAATAATAAAATACAATACAAAAAATGTTCTTGCTGTTAACCCCCCCCCCCCCCCATGTGTTCTTGCTATTAACCCCCCATGTGTTCTTGTTGTTAACCCCCCATGTGTTCTTGTTGTTAACCCCCATATGTTCTTGCTGTTAACCCCCCATGTGTTCTTGTTGTTAACCCCCCATGTGTTCTTGTTGTTAACCCCCCCCCCCCATATGTTCTTTCTGTTATGTATTTCCCATAACTCCCCATGTAGGTTCTTAGCAAGACCAAAACAGCCTAGCTCAAAGGACTCTGAGAATGTGTACGCTGACCCAGCCATGTCCAGGACAGTGCTGGCTGCTGCAAGCAATGGTGGCGATGACACCGCTGATGACTACATGACTGTTAGACCGTGAGTGTGAATAGCAAGAATGACGTCATCATTTTTAAATACAGTGAAACTTGTCTAAGGCGACCCCTCAAGGGACGAGAAAAAGTGGTCGCCGTGGCCAGGTGGTCTTCTTATGCAGGTTCAGTGGGTCACGTGACCATATCC